ACCTGCCACATGAAGGCCAGCAGACAAGCAGGTGCAAGTGCTCCGGCATTCAGAGCAGCCACACAGAACAGAACGGAGACAGCTTTGCCAGCTGCACCGAAGCCACCTCAGACTTCCCAAGGCCCACTATAACCTCCTCCCCTACCCGGAGACCGTTTCCCACGTTCCCCGGGGCTTACTGTCCGGCAGCTTCATGTTGTCCACCGAGGGCAAGAACACATCTCGATGCAGCCTCTCCTCTTCTGGGGTCCTCTCCACTGTCAGCTCAAACAGCTTCAGGGAAACGACGTCGTGATTGTCTAGGGAGAAAGGGCTGAAGGTTACTCCAGCCATCTCGGCGGACTAGCTTGGGGGTCAGTCTCTTGGTTCAGGCTCCTACCCACAGCTAACTAGTCGGAAGCTTGAAAAACAAAATTGCAGCCTTTTGATGTTCACATTAAGCCATGAGACAGGGACCTCAGCAGAGAGACCGTTTGCATTTGCGGATGTCCTATGGGCAAAGTGCGCAACATAGTAACACAGGCATCAGCACTAGAAACCCGATGACAACGCTTCCTCTCCTGTGCCATTTCTAACCGTTGGGCGCAGGCTTCCACTGAAAACGACAGTAGGGACCGCAGACTAGGCTATGAACGGCCTTGTGTCATGCAGAGTGCACTGGAAAGTGGATGGTGGCAGAGGTGGGTAGGTTAACATTTAACACCCTCAGACAGGGGAACTGAACATTGTGAACATGCCCAGAATACCTAAACAAACAAAAAATAACACCTTATCATGGGATCCCCCTTTGGACCCATTTAAAAGTTGTTCTAGTTTTTAAATGATTTTCTGCTTTCCTTTCGATCGAGGGCTTCCTCTATTTTATGTTGTTGTTGTTGTTTGTTTTTCAGTCTATGGATCCCAGGTGGGTGGCTCATCAAAACAGTCACTGGGTTAGGTTTCTTGAGGGCATGTGGGGGTGAGAAATGGGCAGATAATATCAATGAGCACAAAAAAGAAGAACATGTTCTAAAACTGGTTGTGGGAATGATGGTACATTTCTAGATACGCTTGAACTGCTGGATTGCATGATATGTGGGTTATGCGCCAATAAAACTGTTATGGATAAATGGTTTTTTTAAACTACAGTAGAAGCTTAACAGAGAAGGTCCCGGGAATCTGAAAGCTCACAAGAAAATGTGTGGGCAAGGAGCAGCTGCATTCTGCTCCAGCTGGTAACAAGATCCTGTGCACATCAAAGGTCTCAAATCCGGGCCCATCCCCAGGCCAAGGCAGGTCTCGTCCACAGGCTCGGCTGCCCGCTACTGAGAACCTAGGTTGCAAACTGCTCTGCGACAACAAGCAGCTCATGAGAGGAATTACTGCAGAGGCACAAGGGAGTGGAAACATTCTTTTTCTTCATGACAGTGGTCATTACATGTGTATAAGAATTTGCCAAAGCTGTTCAAACGGCACCCTTCTTTTGTCTGCAAAATACACCTTAATAAAGTTGGGTGTTTTTCATTTAGTTGTTGAGATTTTAAAAATCAGGAGCTTTAAAAATAAATCTCCAGACTTCCAGCATCTCGTAAAAAATGAGAAGCCGTGGCTTTGTTGGGCCCACACTCCCTCTTGGTCAGACTGCCTGATGCGGAACGGCTCCTGCCCTCTTTCAACGGGGTACCTGGTTGCCTTTCCACTTTGCCAAAGGAAGTCTGGAAGTTCTCTTTCAACTGGTTTTGTCCACAACAAATAACAAGAGGCGAGGACTGAGGCTGAGGGCGGGACACAGCCTGCAAAGCAGCTGCAAGTGTGGAAAGCGTGGAAGAGAACCGAGGTGACCGGCAAGTAGAAGAGCCAAGTGCTGCGAATGCCACAGAAGCCCGGGAAGGACGGCACACGCTTGAGTTACTGGTCCACTGAGGCAGCAGTCAGACAGTGAGACCACCAGCTGTAGAAGGCAAGGGACAGACACCCCCTTTTGTGGCATGACGCTCATGGGCTGCTAGAGACCTGTGTGCAGCACGGTAAGGAGGTAGGCAGGTGGGAAGTGGAAGCATCAGTACCGGCTGCACATCTGGACATCTGGTTCAGCAAAAACAGCTGGCTAGGGCTGTCATAAGATAAGGGGCGGCAGAGCCAAGCAAAGGGCTGGGTGTGGAAGGCAGTGGGGACACAGGCACAGATGGAAGGAGTGTCTGACCATAAAAGGGGCACCAGATGCAGGAAAGCCAGGAATCCCAAGCCGGGTGGACGGCTGGCTTAATGAGCAGGCAGGCAGGACTTCCTTCGCAGAGACCCCTCTCCCGGGGAAGCCTGGGCCTGACGCACGGAGGTGGGAAAAGCAGCACTCGCCGGACATTCGCTCCCCCCATCCTTCTGCCTGTCACCGAGCCACAGGCACTGAGACATGGCCTGGGCTGGGCAGCGCCAGGGGCGTACCCGAGAGATCCCCGGTGATGGAGGACGTGCCGAAGTAGTAGCCGCGCGGCAGCCGGACCCCGGGCACCTCGATGCAGTCCCTCCACTCGTGCTTGCCATCGATGTCCACCATGATCTGCAATCGACAGAGAGCTCCGTCACGGGCGGGCCGCAGGCGCCGGGAAGGCCGGCCCGGGGAGGACTCACCGTCAAATGGCGCTTGACGTAGCGAATCACGAGGAAGGTGTCGTAGTGCAGATTGCGGACAATGGCTGTACAGCCCCCCAACTCGGTGGGCCGCCCGTCCCGCTCATGATCGTAGCTGAGGGAGCCGTTGTTCACCATGGCGGACACGTAGGGGAACACCCGCTGCGGAGCAGGAGGCAAGCAGAGGGCTGTGAGGCCCCGCAGCCTCAGCAGTGAGTTTTACACACGCACGCTGAGCCCCACAGCACCCCGGATGGCCACTCCGCCTTATGATGAGCAGCCCTGTGGCCTACATACTGCCCAGGACTGGTGTTTTTGTTAGGAATGTACATTCCTGTCGCCTCACTGCCCACATACACTCCTTAAAGAGACAGTCATTCCCTGAGTGTCTTTGCCGTCTCGGCACCAGTCCCATAACGAGTATTCTGAAATACCTCTAGATCCTTCCATACAGACACTGGCGCCTTTCAACGCTTGGAGCTGTGTGATGCCCAATGGACTAGAGCCCAGAGCACTGGCAGAACAGGGCTGCTGGCTGGTGCCACCCTACCATGATGACTGCGCTTAGGCAAAGGCCTGAAGCCTGAAGCCTCACCCACACATAAAACCAGCTGCCATCAGGTGGATTCGGGCTCAGGGCGACCCCGTGTGTCGGAGTCGAACTGTGCTCCTTAGGGTTTTCGATGGCTGCTTTGTTGGAAGTAGATCACCAGGCCTTTCTTCTGATGCACCTCTGGGTGGTCTCAAACCTCCAACCGTTAGGTTAGCAGCTGCGGGTGATGCCCATTTGTACCACCAGGAAATTCTATCCACATAGAACTCATCCCAGTCACTTGGCTTGGCAGGGTTCGCCCATGGCAAGGGGAAAAATAAAAGTTTCCCCATTTTCCCATCTGCTTCAGTGGTTCTCTCCAATAGTTATAGAAGCAAATTCTCCCTTAGAAACGATGAGCTAACCATTACAGAACTCGCCCAGTGCTGGTGCAGTGCGTAGGCAGGGTGATGAAAGGAGAGGCATGCCGCTTTCCTGGTGAGCTCCCCATCGTCCTACACAGTCAACATGCACGGTGGAGATGCAGTTGAGATCAGAGACTGGTGAGTCTTGAGACAACAGCCACACAGATCCCACACAGCAGCTAATGTTGGGGGGACACACATGGGAATGAGAGATGGCCACGGTGGAGCAAGAACCGAGTACCTGGACTGCAGGAGAATATCGCTTCTTCTGGGCCTGAGGGTCCAGCGGGTTAAGAGAGGGCACAGAAGACAGGAGACCAAGTCAGAAAGAAACAGTCATGGGAGAGCGAGAACCCAGCTGTGATGGATGAACCAACCAACCTACACCCCAACTAGGACTCTGGGGTCCACGGAGGGCAGTCAGCAGGCCCTGCACTCACCAAAGTGACAGGAGAATTGCATGCACAGCTGCTTGTATATTTTTCTGACGAGAAGGCCTGTTCGTGGTGTCAGAATCTTAAAGGAATCCACGAGGAAGACTTCTCCTGCCTGGGGAGGGTCCTGAAGCTTGCTGGAGGAGCCTTTAAAAATACACCGCCTCACTGTCCAGGCAGGGACAGGCCCTCTGGGAACCAGAAGTCCAGGCCACCAGTCTGGCTATATGAAACTACACTATTCCTGTTCTTCCAAACTCAAGATGGCAGTGAGCGGGCAGGGTCTCAGGATCTAGTTCTTGTCTAAATGACAAAACCCTCACTATTTCAGGAACTCCGGAGTTAACTCTCACCCAACAGGATCGCTGATCCTCTAGCTGAGCCTTCTGGGTATGTGTTTCCAAATGACCAGGGCAAATGACCACTGCTGCGTGACAGGTTTTTAAAAACCAGCATTTTATTTTGGTCCCCCCAAAATGGCCAGCAGTTCTAAACTACTAGCAACTTGGGCTATCCGTACAAGCTCAGCCTGGTTCTGCCCCAGTGGAAAGGTGGGTGAAGGTGGAGTACCCAATGCATTCCCCCAATACTCAGTCAGCAATGAGAGCCAGGCACCGTCCTGGCAAAACAGGACTCACAGGGGGCTGCTCTCCCCACACGAACACTTCAGTGGGAGAGAGGAGCAACAGACGAGTGAATTCAGAGAGCAACGCATGCTATGTTGCAAATAAAGCGGAGAATACTTCAGAGATTGATGAGGAGCGATGTCTCTGAAGAACGTCGTCTCAGCCAAGATCCCAGGAACGAGACAAGAGGGATCTGCCCAAAGAGCACAGAAGCCCCCCATGGGAGCAAGGAAGCATGAGGGAGGGCGGCACGCTCAAGGAGCTGACATCGGAAGGGGTGTCTGAAACAATCTAGGGAGGAAGACGGCGGTGTGAGCGGAGGCCACAAGGCAAAGACCAGATCACAGGAGGCCTTAAAGGCCATGGTAAGGAGTCCGAGGTACACTTCAGAGCATGCCCCCCGCTGCTCTGCTGCCCATCATTTTGATAGTAAGTGAATACGTGTTACTGAAAACAAGCTGTCGGCTCTATAGACAGAGAGGGGATCTTGACCACAGTACTACACTGGGAGTCCATGAACTTCCTAAAATTCTTTATGTACGTCTTTTTTTGTGGTTCCACCACTTGATCAGATTTTCAAAAGGATCATGACCCAAAAAAGGGGTACACAGTCCAAAGCGAAGGAGCACCTGCTTTGCTTCGACTTCCTCTCTCCCTTCTTCACTGCCTGAGAAGAAACATCATCTTCTTGTCTCCATGCAATCTGAGCAGAAAGCCCTATGCTCCCCAGAAGCCAGTCCTGACCAGTGAAGTGCCACTTCTAGAGCTTGCCAACACCCCGTAGGCATGCCTTCCAGAGTAATCGTTCTCAGAAAACCTGCCCTACTGAAGCCTAAAACTAGAAGCGCCCCAAGTCCTATCCAAGCTGATAATGAAACAACTTCAGAGGTCAAGGAGTTGCTTCAGTAATGCAGAGATGTTCTCTGCCAAGAGTTAAGAAGCCAAGGAAGATCAGTCTTCATCAAGATACAGAGTTGAAGGAGTGTGTTTTTAAATTGGAAGGCAGTATTAGCAAGTTTCTCATTTCAGAGGGAGAAAAACCACCACCGCCAACAAAACAAAAACAACACACACACACACACATCTGTATATAATGAACCGCCTCAACAAGAGCTCCAGGCCGGCTTTCTCTGGGAGGAGAGCTCTTCTCGCCACTCTCCGCCAGCGGTCTCTGCCTCTGTGGGCGAGGCCCAGACACCTCACATAGAAGGATGAGGGCCAAGTCAGCAAAGGGGTGCACATCTGCTCGCATTCCAGGACAGCATTCGGCACCGTACTTGATTACAATGGAGTGTGATCGTGTACTGACAGCACTCCTTAATTCCCTGCCACTTTTCACGCGTATCGGAGTCACGTGAGAAACTGCACTCAAACAATGCCCTCAAAGCAGCAAGGGAAAAAAAGCAAAAACATGATTCAGATCAAGTTCTCATCATTTTTTTGGTAACCGCTTTATTGAGGTTCATGTACCACACATCTCACCCATTTAAAACATACAGTTCAATGGCTTTTCATACGCCTGGTGTCATGCAGCACCTTTCCCCCAGTCATCAGCTCATGGACACTTGAGTTGTTGCCCTTTTTTGGCCATTAGACAGTGGTCCAATAGACAGTCATCTGAAAGTTGTTTATGTGGACGTACGTTGTCAATGAGCGGAATTGCTGGTCATATGTTTAACCATCGAAGAACTGCCAAACTGTTTTCCAAAGTGGTTGCACCATTTTATAGTCCCACCAGCAGGGCACACGGGCTCGCTTTTACAGCACCCTCATTAACATCAAGATGCCCTGGTGACTCGTGGGCTAAGCAGCAGGCTGCTAACTGCCAGATCAGGGGCACAAAGCCACTGAGAGAGAAAGATGAGGCTGTGTGCCCCCTTAAAGACTGACAGTCCTGAAAACCCTACGGAGCGATTCAGCTCTGGCCTATAGGGTTGCTGAGTTAGAATGGACTCCGCGGGGTGAGCGAGCGTTCCGGTTTGCTCCTTTGGCCATCTTAGTGGATGGCGGTGGTGTCTTAGCACGGTATTTCGTGGCACTCTCCTCGTGGTGAATGAGGAGGAGCATCTTTCTGCTTGCTTCTCTGTCGTCTGTGCATCTTCTTCAGACAGCTATCTATTCAGATCCTTTGCCCATTTAAAAAATCTGGTTGACTTATTGAGTTGAACAGTCCTTGATACTTCCTAGATACATGTTCTTTATGGACACATATTACAGATGTTTGCTCCCAATCTACATGGTGTTCTCACTTTCTTGACGGTATTCTTTGAAGGACATAGAATTTTAATTTTAAAGTTTATCTGTTTTCTCTGCTTACATTTTGGAATTCTATCTGTGGGACCGTTGTCTAATCCAAGGCCATGGAGAATTATGCCTGTGCCCGTCTAGCTGTTCATTTGTGTCTGTAGTACGAGGGGGGGAGGGACATCGTTCCTTTGCATTTGGCTATCCAGTTGTTCTAGGACCATTTGCTGCAAAGACTACACTATCCCTTCTATCCCTTGACACCCTTCTCCAAGATCAACTGACCATACACTTAAAGGGTTACATCTCTTCGACTGTAGTCCGCAGACTTGTGTACATTTATTCTCGTGCAAGCAGCACACTGTTTTGGCTACTATAGCTTTGTAAGTTTTGAATGTAGGTCCTTTACTTTGTTCTTATTTTTCAAGGTTACTTTGGCATAGGCAAACAGTCCCTTATTATTTGGATTTTAAAATGTTGACGCATTTCTACAAAGAACTAGTGAGGTTTTTGATAGGTCGGAACTGCATCAAGTCTGGTGTTCTATTTGGGGAATGTTGCTATCTTGATATTAAGTCTACCAACCGGTGCCCTTCTGTAACTTTCCATTTACTTAGTTCTTAATTTCTGTCAACAATGACTCATAGTTTTCACAGTATAAATCCTGTACTTCTTTTGTTAGATTTGTATCCAAGTATTCTATTCTTTGGTGACGGTATAAACGGAATTGTTTTACTTTCACTTTGAAGTGCTTTCTGTGTATGAATAGATAATACAACTCATCTTTATATACTGCATTTGTATCCTGAAACATTACTGAATTGGGTTATTAATCCGAATAGGTCTTGGGGGATTCTTTAAGATTTTCTACATACGGAGCTGATACCAAGGGCTCAAGTAGAAAGAAAATGTTTTGGAAATGATGATGGCGAATTTTCTCACAAAATAAAAAAAGGAAAATTATGATGGCAACATAAATACAAATGTGTTTGATACAAGTGATGTAGGATTGTTATGAGCTGTAAGAGCTCCCAATAAAGCAATTTATTAAAAACATACATATTTTTCCACATACAAGATGGTGTCATCTCTAAGTAGGTATTTTTATTTACCGCTTCTTGACAATCTGGAGGACTTTTGTTTTGTTGTATTGTCTAATTGCCTTGGTTAGAACCTCCAGGATAGCATGAAACAGAAGTGGCAAAAGCAACATCTTTGATTTACTCTTTATGTAAGCAAGGAAAAGCATTTAGTTTTTTATCATTTAGTATGATGTGGGCTGTCCCTCCATTACCTTTATCAGAAAATTCCCTTCTTTTCTAATCTGTGGAATGCTATTAAAATAGAGATGTTGAATTCTGCCAAATGTCTCTTTGTGTGTCTACTGACATGATCGCATGACTTTGTCCTTTAGCCTATTACCACTACAGTACTTGAGTTTTAAATCAATCTCGCATTCTTGGCCATGGTATCCTTTCGATGTGTCGCTAGTATTGTATCGAAACACGTGCAGTAATGGGTACTGGTCTGCAGTTTTCTTGTGATGTCTTTGGTTTGGCCATCAGGAGAATATTGACTCCATAGAATGAGTAGGTTAATGGTCCCCTTGCTTCTGTGTTTTTAAAGAATTTGATGGTGTTTCTACTGGGCCTGGGCTTTTCTTTATGGGTAGAGTTTTTTTTTTAATACCAATTCAATCTCTTTACTTGTTAAAAGCTAAACTAATTTTCCACTTCTTCTTTAATTACTACTTTAGTCAGCAAGTGATCTGACGACCTCACAATGGCATATCCAAATGTTAAAACTCTAGGTTTACCCACCTAAACTGCTGATGGGAAATGGATGGTATGTGACTTTGAGTAATGTATATACTCATGTATAAGCCGAGTTTTTCAGCACAGTTTTAATGCAGTTTTTGTGGTAAAATTAGGTGCCTCGGCTGATAGTCAGGTCTGCTGATACACAAATCTGTTATGACACAGTAATCTGCTATGGTCTCAAGAGAACCAAGTCTAAACACCACTTATACACTGAGTTTCCTCATCACCTGCTAGGTGAGTTATGGGTTCCTATTGAACAAGGTGTTAGGAAATAAGTTGACCAGTGGGTCTGACGTGCTCTGAGATCAGGAACCGAGTCTAGAGAGGTTTATCAGTAGCTTGAGGGATTTGAAGAATTGCTCTGCACACTTTCCTGCCTGCTTCCTGTCCTTGTATTCGCAAGTTCTCAAAAGGTGCAGTGCTTGGCGCCCCCTTCTTATGTGCTCAAGGTAACAAAGGAAACTCATAGGGCTGCACTCTGGGTCAGACCCATCACCTATGCGACACTGACACGTTTTTAACCTTTTGCACACGTTTGTTTTGTTTTTAAAGTAGGGGCAGTAACAGTCCTTACCCTCTAGGAATAAGCAATACATGTAAAAGAAACCCACTTAGAATAATGCTTGGCACCTTTATTGTATGTTAACACCTGATATCAAAGCCAACCACCCCACTGAGGAAACAAATGTGATGCTCCCTGCTAGCATAGTTTCAGGTTTGGGGGCTTTAGAATGGAGTCTGGTCCTACCCTCTCTGGACTGAATGTAAACACTAAGAATTAACATGAGGTAGGAGACCACATAGAAAGCACGGCTCCATTCTCCAGGCAGAAATCAGCCCGACAGAAGGCAAAGTGGGATGGGAAGTGGTGGAGCACCAGAGTATAGACGCACAGCCTCTGGAGCAGGGTAGGCTGGGGTTCAACACCTGGCTCCACCTGATGCCACCTGTTCCCTTGAACAAGATGCTTCCTTCCTCTCAATCTGAAGAGAAACATAGGAACCGCCTCAAGGACGCTTGAGAAGGATAGAGATAATGTACATAAAATACTAGGCACATAGTAGCTACCTAATAAATAATTCAAAAAACAAACTCAAGGCCGTTGATTTCAACTCATCGCACCCCTACATGACGGAGTAGAACTGCCCCATAGGGCTTCCAAATCTTTCCAGAAGTCCACTGCCTCATCTTCCCCCCACGGAACTGCTAGTAGATCTGAACCACCAACCTTCCAGTTAGCAGTCAAAGCACTGGGCTCCTACCTATCTATCAGTTTTATAATGAGAGAAGGGCCTGGTGTTGGTCCATGGGTTCTCAGTGCTGGCTCTACACAGGAATCATCTGGAGAGTTTTTAAAAAGAGAGTCATGCTTCTCTTAGAGACCACCGTTAGGCCACGTAACAGACCGGCCGACAAAATAAGCACCCCCATCCCGACCCCAGGAGGAATGTGCTCCTTAGGAACAATCAACTCTGAAGAGGCCGAAAGGGTAACCTCTCCCCAAAAGCACGAGAGCGAAGACAAAGAGGAGCAAAGGAGCACATGAAAGGAAACGGGAGACAAGGGTGGACATGGGAGAGTGCTGACACGCTGCGTGCGGGGTGTGGAAGCGACCTATCAGAGTATTATATACATATTTATATAGATGAATTACTGAGCAGAAATCTAGTCTGCTATGTGAACTTTCACCTCGAGCACAATAAATGTTCACACGCCTGCACACAAAGAAATTCAACTGACAGCAAACGTGAACGTCTCTCTTTCTAAATAAATAAATGCGATTACAGACTAACTGAAGCAGAACATCAGGGGACGGAGCCCTGGGCAGTGGGGTGTTTTAAAGTGCAGCTGGGCTTGAGAGCCCCAACAGCTGGCCCGAGAGGGAGTCCTCATTTTCACCATCTGAAACAAATTAACCTCTGCTCTCCTCAGCAAACAAACCTTCCAGATCTGCTCTCTGAGGGGAAAATGGAAGCTCGACGTTTGAACAATTTGTTTCTGGCCCCAGAGCACCGGCCTGAAACTCCAGTCAACCCGAGGCAAGTGCTGCTGGACATTCCGATGCACTTCCACCTGCCACTGTCTGCTCAGTGCGACTTCGCCCTTCACCGAAAGCCTCACGTGCACTGCTGCCCTTCCTATCACGTCCAGACTCCTCCACAGGAACCTGACCCTTCAGAACTGGCCTTAAGATGTGCCTGGTGCGGGTGAGGCACATGCATTCAGATGGTGCTGGTGCTGATCTAAAGGCCAAATTCCCAGCACCCAGGGAAACACTGCTTGTGAGTGTGCACCGGGGAGAACAGTGCTAGCACTCAAGAGTGCAAGGGGCGCGATGGCCCCTGGAGTCGTGCAATAAGGCAGGACTGCTGGCCCTGCGATTCTACTACTCGCTCCCACCCTCCTTTAGCGGCCACACACTCACTGCCATCTGCCCCTTCTCAGCACCTCTCTCCCTGTGTGGAACACTGGTTCCAAATCCTGCAGACCTCAATGCCAACGCTGCCTTCTGAAGGAAGCCCCACACCACCGCTGTCATCCCTGCCCCGCTCCAGAGGAGGGGCTCCTGCTACGCGCTCTCAGAGCAGGGCCCACAGTTTCCCTAACCGCATTTTCGTACCCCAGGGTTACTGAGTGCAAGGACCATGTGTGTCTCACTCACCACCTCATTCCCAGGGCCTGACACCTACAAGGTCCTTAAGGTGAAGCCCAGAAAGAAGACCGAGGAGCAATTCCGAAACGGAGCCCTGTCAAAAGTTCAATGCCCTGACGCATGTCTCACTGTCTGCCTCCTGGACCGTAAGCTCTGTGCTATACTGTTCAGCACCACTGAATCGGGGTGTTGCGTCCAATGACCCTTCTATTGTACTTCCCGTTTTTTTTCTTAAGCTTGAGATGGTTCATAATAAGCCTGGGGGAGGGGGGAATTAAAGTGAACTCTTGTCTCTGGTTCCAATCCTGCCTCCACTGCTAACAAGACGTAGCCGCGGATAGACATCAACAAGAACCTGTCCTGTTCTAATCATGTGGTGGGGGTCATTCCCCACCATCCGCTGACAGAGCCGTAGAACCGAGAGTGTACACCTGTTGCTCACAAAGGAAAGCGCAAAAGGACCCTGGGGCCAGCTGGACCCACGACAAGCCCGTGTGTGGCTCCACAGGGATGTTAATGGCTGGTTTGTCAGAAGCCCAAGTGAGGCGGCACTTCTGGGTCAACTGGACTTCCAACGTTTCCTTCAGTCAATGCAGCTGAGTGCATTTGCGGCCTCACCCCGGAACTCCTAAACAACCCATGGGGCCAGCTAGGTAGGAAAAGCTTCCGCAGACAAGTGGAGTCCAACGGATTTCTGGGATGTCACCACGTTCGGAGGAGGAGGAAGAGGAGGAGAAAGGAATGCTGCACAGGGGGACCGAGCTGCAGAGGCACAGCCGGGCTACGGTGAGTCGGGCAGCTCAGTTACACACACTCAGCGTGCTCTGGGGCTGGCCGAGCAGAGGCAGATCAGGGTTACGGAGTGAGTATGTGCACAAGGACAGCGTTAACCCTGGAGAAAGAGCCCCTGTTTCCAACGCCTACTCCCCAAGGACTGTGCCCTCACCAACAGCTACAAGAAACACAGACACAGGCAGTCCAAGGATGAAGAAGAAAGAACCAAGCCCCTCTCTTTCTATCCATGCCCTCGGGCCTTTCCTGGGGCAAAGCACTGGGACCTCACTGCAACTGACCTAAGCGCAGACATGTGCCATTACCTCTTGCTGCTTCTCCTCATTGGGGTAGGTGTCTACAAATACTCCCAGCCCCACAAACTTGTCCATGTTTCCAAACACAGGCCCTAGAGAGAGAGAACAGATGGTGAGCAAGGAGATAACGCCAAGAGTTGACAAAGGAATAATCTATCACCACGGAGGAGGGGAGAGCCCACTGGACATGCCTCCCAGGCCTCTCCTGGGGGAAAGAGCCTGGCCGGGAACCATCGATCTCTGGCCGGTTGTGGTCGAGGGCCAGGGGAAGAGAAAACGCCACTGCGACTTTGTTCAGCGCCTCAGCAGCTCCCGGCTGCAGACGGGTTGCTAAGGTGCCCCTGCAGACTTGCGCTTCACAAACACTTGGTGAAGCCGGTGCCCCCAGAGAGAACTGAATTCCCAAGGTCTTTTTCTGGTTGCAAAAGAGATCAGGTCAAATCAGGGGGAGCCAGCACTGACTTAGAGCAGTGGGCCCAGCCAAAGAGAACAAGGCCGTGCTCTGCGTTGCACTCGGTGGGGCTGAGATCGTTCCCTACGCGAGCCCCAACCTGCATGTTCCAGGAGCTCGGGCTTCCCGCCAGCCAAGAGGACAGTGATTTCCCGGGGAACTCTGGAGAGACTGAACCAGGACAGAACCTCCCCAGGAAGAGTCCAAGTTACCTGCTTCTTGGGACTCAGGCCCCACTGTAGGGCCTCGATGTCTTCAACCACCTTCCCTTCAGCCAGGGAGAGAGGGAGGACTGCTGGCCTAGCACGGGGGTGCCCTTCTCAAAGAGCGGGCACCGGCAAAAGCAGGCGGTCACACCCCACACAGGAGTCCCCTGGGGTCCCACTACCTGGCTGCATCCGGTCCTTGGTGTACCAGATTGCCAAGCCGTCCCCGTGCAGATTCTTCTTGCCTTGTCCGTGGATTTTGAAGTGCACCTGCAACTCCCAGTCTCTCAGGAAACATGGCTACAGGGGAAGACACTGGAGTCAGTGAGCAGGAAGATCAGCCCAAACCCTCCAGCTCCCATCAGTAACCTTCAGACGTGGAAGGCATAAATGCATCTCACACTAGTCTACAGCTTAGAACCCAACTCGAAGGGCTTATTATGTACAATGAAAAGGACTGAGCCTATGAGTGATTTACTAATCAGAGTGAAATAACGATCCCGGTTATCGTCAGCATCTCCCAACAGAAATAGGACTATACTCCCAAGTTGGGAAAGGCCTGCTGCCTGACTATTATTACCCCGTGTTCACCCAGCAACATAGCTCGGCCTCCCTAACACGCTCGGTTTTCAATTTAGCATCACCTCCTCTGCCTCCGTTGACAGAAAGACACGAAAAAGCTTGCATGTAGAGGCCAAAGCCTCATGCGTTGCAAACAAATCAGCAAAGGTAGATCATTAGGCAAAGGTTTCCAGGAATAATTAGCAGATGCTATAAACAACTCTCATTAGACTTGGCCCTCTGTCAACTGCGGGGCAAGCTAGAGCTCACAAGAGAGATAGCGTTAAGCCACAGTCCCCCAAACCTGAATGCCCTTGGCCAAGAGGCACAAGTGCACGCAAGACTAACAGCGCTCCCGCCCACCGCAGCAGCAGCCTCTGGAGGGAACGTTTAAGGACACAGGAACTAATCGGATAGAGCTGGGCTGGTTTTGGTTTCGGAACAAAACTTGAGAAAAACAGGTGGCGGCAAGTGGCTAGATAGATGCCCTAAGTTCGCTGTGAGGAGAAACCAGAGTGGGCACTTGGTTTGGGAGGCTCCTGGTGGAAATGGTTCACAGTGAAGAGAGAGGAGGAGGAGGAGGAGGAGGAGGAGGAGCAGATACAGCAGCTGGGGTTAGCCCAAGGCTCTCCAAATAGAACAGCTCTGGTTCTTGAGAAATTATCATTTTCAATTTTTGTTTTCAATGTCTGGGATACTTTTTCAAAAGTGTTAGGAGGGGAGGAGAGTCTAAATGCAAGAGGGTGGAGCTAGTTCTAAAGTAAACAAAAAAACCCCCAAAACCCTCAAACTCACTGCCCTCCGGTGGATGCTGACTCATAGCGACGCTACAGGACAGGGTAGAACTGCTCCTGTGAGTTTCTGAGACTGTAAACCTTTATGGAAGGAAACAGCCTCATCTTTCTCCCGAGGAGCAAGTGGTGGTTTCGAATTGCTGACCTTGCAGTTAGCAGTTCAACTCATAACCACTTCGCCACCGAGGACCCTTTCAAATTCAGCCAAGCGGCTAGAAATCTCCAATAGCTTACCCTACTGATGAGCCCAGCTGCCGTTTTGTCCTGTGGGAGTCTCATCTCTGCTGTTGCATTTAGATTGCAAGACAAGACAATCAGTGGCAGGAAGTGGCCCTTGGGCAGGTATTATGCCCCTGGGAAAGGGACATGCCCAGAGCTCACAGAGAGCCAACAGGTGTCCGCTATTGGTGCTTGGCTTCGAGTGTAGCACTTGCTAACAGTTTTGCTCCCCTCTCTGTCTAACAGTGGTCCTGATGCTATGCTTGTGGACTGACTTGAATCCCTCAAGCATAAGTGTTGTAAACCCTGACTCCTATACCTGGGAATGGGGTTTCTTTGTTATATGAATATGGAACGCGACCCACTCCTCATTTATCAACATTATCAAACCAAACTCACTGCCGATGTGTCAATTCCGACTCACAGCAACCCTACAGGACAGCGTAGAACTGCCCCTGTGAGTTTCCAAGTTCCAAAGACCAGGTCCTGATGTGAAAATCTACATGATATGAAAGTGGAAGGGGACCACATCAGCTCCCCAAATTGAGAGTGACTACATCATTACCGATCTGCCAAATCGCATCATTAAATAACTGCCAAACCACTGAGCATCATGGCTCAGCCAGGATAACACACAACTTTAATGGTCACTGCGAGAGTTGTTCTCATCTCGGACCTCGGTGCTTTTTATTGCCAAATGTTAGGTTGCTAATGTGCAAAACAGTCCCATGGTGGACTTTTTACTATTGTCATAAATCAAAAGGTCATATAAGGAGACAGCCGTTCGATGAGGGAGGTGCAGGGATTAGTCATGGGTGTGTCTGAAGTCACCTTTTTTGAGAGAAGAGGACCAGGTGAGGCATGAAAAGGAAGCAAACACAGGAGCAGAGATTTCAAGCCACATAAAGATCCCCCAGGAGGGCGCGCTCAAAACAGACAAGGACATTCCTGTGGAGGCAACAGTGGGAGGAAAGCCTTCCCTAGAATCTGTACTTCTGGCATCTTAAACTGTAGGGGGTGGTGAGCGGGGGTAGAAAACAAAATCTGTTCGCTAAAGCCACTCATAGCTAAGATACACCTCAGGCCGATTAAATCGGAATCTCCAGGGAGGCAGCCCAGACATTGATTCCAACAGACAGGCCAGTTTGAGAACCATTACCCAAACAAGTGCACCTTATTCAAATAACTCAGAAGCAACTCCATAACTCCTTCTGAAAGCCAACTACAGAGGGGACAGGTGGTCTCCCCTGCCAGCCTTTCACCTCTTCTACCAGAACACTAGCCCTGCCCTCTGTCCAAGAAGGAGTGTGGCATTCGAATCTGGGTTAAGAGGCCAGCTCCCCTCAGCTCAACGGAGAAAGCGCTACCTCTCTCCCTCTGTACCTTTAGAATTCTCTGCCCCGTCAAATCAACAAGAAAAAAAAAAAAGGTGCCCCCCCCAGGCACACTACCCACAATGAAAAAGAAAGGGGGGGGAAGCACATGAAAAGAAATCCTTCCCTTATGAGCGCCCAGGGAAAAGTATCAAAAGGATGTCAAGGTCATCCCCAAAAGTGAAGTGGTCTCAAAAGACTGAGCAAGAGCCCTAGAAACTGGAAAGAAAACATCATCTTACACTTGCACAAAATCCCAGTGCGGCCACACCAGGAACACTGCAGTCACTTCTTGCCGCCACACCTCAAGGAAGACACTGTGGCTAGAAAAGGGTCCAGAGAAGGACAAATAAAATGACCAATGGCTCCGAGTGGCTTTCACACGAAATACAATGAAAACTTAAAAAACAACACAGGGTCCGGGGCTAGATACTGAGAAGGCGTTTGGAATCAATGCATTTATAAGCTGTCTTCTACTTTACAAAGCAAAATAATTCTGTATAATTTAAGTTACACACTTCCAGTGCTGTAAGGCCAACCATGAATTAAGGACATTTCAGAAAAGAGATGCCAAATACGTTGTTGTGACACATAATTAGGGCAATAAAAAGTACTTTCCCAGGGGGGAGGGAGCACTAGAACTGATCGTGATTGCACAACTCATTTTAAAGGTGACTTAACCATTGGAGGGAGGTGGGGAGATAGATGTGGTGCCGATTGTAAAATTCCCCTTGAGATGATTGAACGATTGAACTATTCAATTGTATGACGTGTACATTGTGCGCTAATAAAACTGTAGAAGAAAAAAATAAAGCACTTCCCCAATTATCTGTGCTAGGGAGGTCATTTTAATCTCTGAAACAAAGATCCTGGCTACACATGGAAGCTAGAACTCAGGAATGGAGAGAGAATAACATTAAGGCAATGTGCCATTGCTGACCTTTTTAGGCTCAATACAGGAGAAAAACTCTTACCACCCGGTTCCACAGGGCGCCCTGTTTGCTTTGCACGTCTGGGGTAAGCCGGACATACTGGGTCATCACCATGGCATTGCCCATCAGATTCCACAGTGAGGAACTGCTCGTGCCTATACCTAGGGGGAGGAAGTGATCAGTTCGTGTTCTTCAACACCAGGCCTTCCGAAAAGCCACCTGGGGCCCTCCCGCAGCTGGAGGCACCATCTTTTTGTCCCTTTCACATCCCTCCATCTCCCACCTCCGACCCCTCCTCAGTCTTTATCAGCGTCCTTTCATCATGCCCAAGGCACAGCCACCAAGGGTCAGATCCATGCTTCTCATTCTGTGCTACATGAACTTTTAGCACCATGGCAGAGAGAGGGGAAAAAGTTCCAAAAGCCAAAAGTCTGACTCTCAGGACTTGGAGGCTTGATCACATTGTTTCCTTAAGCAATCCTTCCAGTGTGATGCTAATGGTCCTTAGCTTATGTCCGACTCCACACCCATAAGGTCCAGGAATGTTAGCACTGGGGCTCTGTACAGCCCACAGTATTAGCATTAGAACCAGCACAGAGCAAACACTTAATGCACCTGCTAAGTGCATAAATGATCACTCGTATTGAAAGCGCACCCTTTCTGGCATGTTGTTGTTTCCCCTCCCCACCCCCACCCCCGCCCCCCGTGGTGGGGGAAATCGGGTGTGTGCTAAGCCAGCTGCAGTGAACTGGTTTGGGGCCCTTTGTAGTCCCTGGTCCTCTCTACAGAATCAATGTTCTCGTGCAAGACGTGTGCGCAGAAGCAAACTAAACGCCCTGTTTCTCCGCTAGCATTCCTGGGCTGGAGCAGAGCAGGTGTGCTGACCGGCAACAGGTAGGGTTTTCTCTTCTTTCTCGCTTGAGTCCAAGTCCTAGCCCAAACTCCACCACCTGTGCGGAGGCTGGCCGGCCCACTGCGCGCGCTCTTCCACCGTGGGCCCGTCTCGCCCCCTCCCCACCCCAGTCCAGCTCC